GGGCTGCCCTGCTCCCTCACACCCCGCTCCCTCACACCCCGCTCCCTCACACCCCGCTCCCTCACAGCCCGCTCGGCTCCCCTGGGGATGCTCCGCTCCCTCACACTCCACTCACTCACACCTCGCTCCCTCACAGCCCGCCCGGCTCCCCTGGGGATGCTCCGTGACCCCGCGACCCTCGGGCTGTACCGAGGGCTGGCTCCTCCACTTTCCAGAGCCCCTACGTTCCAGGGCTCCAGCATCCCTGTGCCCCTGTTTCCTTATGTCCCCGCATCCTGGTGCCCCCATATCCTGATGTCCCACGTCCTGGTGCCCCCCTTCCCAAGGCCCTGGCATCAGCACACCTTGGGCCCTGGCAGGCACCACTCAGCCAGGTGCCAGCTCTGCCCTCAGCTCCTGCATTTCACACTCAGCACCTGCAGTGTCGGGCGAGAGCGGTGATGGGGCTGCCAGGTACTGGTGTAATTATCTAAAAGCAATCAGCTTCCCATAAATTAAGGAGCACAGCATAGGAGCGAGGGCTGCCCGCCCAAAGGGACTGAGCCACGTTGCCCTACATTTTCAGAAACATCCATGGATTTTGAGTATCTCCGCTCACCCGGGACTGAGTGCCTCCCAACCGAAGCCCTGGCTCAGCAGCCATGCCTGCAAGAGCTATTTTGGGGTGGCCAGCTATTTCCAGCTCAGGGATTATATTTTTATTGGGGGTGGGGGCAGCATGTGGATGTACCTTCCAGCAGGGACTAACGAACGGGGTGGGAATCAGCAGATGTATGCAGGGCTGGGAGGTCAGGCCCAATGGAGAAACGTTCCCCTCCATGCTCTGTGCCGACCCCTGTAAAACGGCACGTAATCCCCTTTACTGGGTTTGCTTTGCCATGAAGTGCTGAACTCTGGTTCAGCAGCAGGGCAGGCTCTGCTCCTCCAAGCGGGCAGGAAACACCCCAACTGCTCCAGACAGGAGAGGGGCTGACCTGGCCCTGCCCCAGCAGGGTGAGCAGCACCAACCTGCAAAGGAAATGGAGGGGGGGGGGGATTAAAGAACAGTCTTCTTCTCCCCTCTCTGAGCTTCCTTTAGATTTTAGCTATTTCTCATAATAATCACTGGGAAATTACTAGTCAGGAGTGCGGTTCCTGCCCTTTAATCTCTCTGGCTGCAGTGCAGAATTTTAAAGGGGTTCCAGGATGAACAGGCACAAGACAGATATTGCTGATGGACAGAGGGAACTTCAGTACAGCTGCTTACGGCTCAAAGAGAAATTTGGATTTCTATACATTAAAAGGAAATCTCCACTTTTATCCCTTCCATCAGGGAACACTACAGGTCAAATGGCTTTGGGAAGACTTTATCAGTGCGTTCTCTTTCTGGCCTCTCCCAGAGCCAAGGCTGGGTTCAGACAGGTGCCCAGTTTCGGTCTATTCAGACAGTTTTGCTGTTTCTCTGCACCTGCTGCTGTCAGGGAGCCGTACCCATGGCACCAGGGATGCTCCAGGGGCTCGTTCAGTGCCCGTGCCCATGGGTGACAAACCAGGACCCGCTGTCCTGCTCCGTGGCTGGCACGTGGCAGCACCCATCCCCAAAGGTGCTGTTCCAGCCCTGATCCCAGACTTTTCTCCACCCCAAGGAGAGTTTGCAGGCTTGCCCTCTGCTCTCCTTCTCTCCGACCTCTAATGTTCGTGCTAAAAATCCAAACTCCCCGTGGACTTCGGGAAGCAGCTAATGAACTGCGAAGCTGACATCTGTAACTGCCGGTCAGGGGTAATGTTCTCCCAAGCTGCACAATTAAAAGTTGGAGCATTTATTCCAATAACAAGGAAAGTTACTGCTATTGGTACCAACCAGCCCAAATTCTCCACAGTGGCTCTGTAGACAGACCACGTCTGTCCATGTACTCACGGAGCACCGCCTCTCATTAGCAGGTTTCAGCCTCACCAATTGCCTTTCAATTCTGGCAACTCTTGTTTCAGATCAGAGACTGAGATGCAGAGTTTGTTAAGATCAGCATTTTTAAGGTCAAGGTGACGTGAGACCCCAAACCCCCATGAAGATCCATGGCTGCTGAGAGCCCAATTTCTGAAACAAAGAGATCTCGGGCTCCTAAACCAGCTAGGGGGTTTGGGGATGCTATGGCAGGCAAGCAGGCTGGCAGCCCAGCTCGGGGCAGGTCCTAATTGCCCAGGCTGCAGCCCAGTGCTCCGGCTGTTGGGACATCCCCTCTCTGCCGTGCAGCGATGCCAAGGGGCTGCATCCCCCTC